CCCCCCCCCCCCAGTGGACAATGAGCCTCTTGATGGGAGGACTCTTCATTTTTAAGTCTCTCCCAGGGTCTAGCCTGGTATCCGGCACATAGTAGATGTTTAATACTTCTTGTTTTTCAGTAAGTCAATGGATGACACTACTGTTACGGAAGTCTCTGACTAGAGGAGTGAGCAGTATATGGAGGCTAAGCAAAGATGGATAGACTGGGCGTGTATATCGAGTGAAGGTCCTGCCTAGGATCTGAGCCACTTCCTTCTTATTTTTTTTTAAAGATTTAATTTGTTTGGGAGGGAGAGAGGGTGAGGGAGAGACAGCAGCAGCAGAGGCAGAGGGAGAAGCAGACTCCCCAGATGAGCAGGGAGCCCGATGCGGGGCTCGATCCCAGGACCTCGGGATCACGACCCAAGCCGAAGGCAGACGCTTAACCGACTGGGCCCCCCAGGCGCCCCTGAGCCACTTCCTTAGAGCTAGTGTGTGAGCTTTGCCACACCGTTCCTTATGCCGCCCGTGCCTCAGTTGCCCCCACAATCTAACCTCTAGCGGCAGGCTCACATAACCTCGTTATATAGTCCTTGTACCTATGACAGACTCCTACCCAGCTTATTCTGCTGGCAGCCCTGGGATTCACGTAGGGAGACTCTGTCTCATGGACCGATGGAGAGTTTGCAGGCTTTAGACAGGCAGTTACCTTTTCTAGATGGTGCTCTGGGTGTGGCTGTGGGGGCTCCTCCTGGGTGCACCTTTCTGCCAGTTGCTGGGTGGGCCCAATTTTCAGGGTCCAAACAAACTATTCTCTTTTCAGCTGTGAGAGTCTCCAAAAGGCGTGCGCCTTCAAAGAAGAAGCCCGGTGCGGGGAAAATTGAAAAATGCAAGACCGGGTACGTGCTGTCCGTGTTCAACTGCACGGGAATTGATGGTACCGTTGTCCCGTCCGTGTTAAGCGGCCCACGGGGCATGTGGGAGGGTCTTCAAGGGCATGAAGGAGTCCGGTGGGGGAGGGGGAGAAGGCTTCCACCCCCGACTTGGGAGGGCATAAGTTGGAGAGGGAGGAGGAGGAGGCACCCCACTGCTCCCCACCTCCCTCCGCCTCAGCAGAGCCCTGCATGGGCACCCCACAGCAGCCCACCGCAATCCCCGCGCTTCCCCAGGCTGGCCGGAGCCCTTTGGCCCCCACGTCGGCTCTGGCCTTTCCTTGGTCCTTAAACTCAGATCTGCCTTGTTGCCAACAGTTGGCACGAAACCAAAGCAATCCCAGCGGAGATTGAGGGCGGGGCGGACACGTCCCCATCCGTTGGAACTGGGGGGAGGGCAGTCAAGATGGTCTTCCAGGTTTTTGCGGTGCTTTGGCTGCATCCAGTTACTCCTACAGCTTGTAGATGTTCTTGCACATTTCAAAAGCTTAAACATTAGCGTGAAATAGATGGCTCGTGGTTCCTTTATTTTATATTTAGCTACATGGAATTGATCCTGAGGACAGCAGGTCATTTAGACAAAAGACATGTCCATTCTTTAAAGGACGCCAAAAACTGACGCTTGTTTTCATTCAGATTGCAGGAAGTTCTGACCTTTCCGCTTAAAAAGACGATGTAGGGGCGCCTGGGTGGCTCAGTTGGTTAAGCGACTGCCTTCGGCTCAGGTCATGATCCTGGAGTCCCGGGATCGAGTCCCGCATCGGGCTCCCTGCTCGGCGGGGAGTCTGCTTCTCCCTCTGACCCTCCTCCCTCTCATGCTCTCGGTCTCTCACTCTCTCTCTCTCAAATAAATAAATAAAATCTTTAAAAAAAAAAAAAAAGACGATGTAGTAGGGCATAATTTTCTTCATTCTTCCTTGCATTCAGGAGTAATATATACTTACATCAGAATTATCTTACAAGACAAGGAACGTATTTGAAGGACTGTCTGTTTGGGTTTGTTTGGTTGGTTTTTTTTTTACCTGTACTTCGGAGCAATAAATGCACCTTAAGGGGAGCAGAAGAACGATGTGTCAGGCACGGGGGCAACAGAACCCCTCGAACCTGAGCTGAGGTTGGCTCGGTGAGGTAGCTCACGTAGTTCAGTGTGTTCTCTCGCAGGTGGATCCCCGGTCAGCCAAGGGTCTTCTCTGGGTTCCTGCCTTTGCCTCGGTGTCTTGGGTAGCTCCCAGGTCGCTTTGCTGTGGTGTGACAGAAGAAGGCCCATGAGCCGCCCCGTGTGTCGTCGTCCTCCGCATCATCCAAAGGGGGCTAATGTGTCTGGACTCCGCACAGTTGCCTTGGCGCTTCCTGTGGCAGTCTGTGGGCTTCCTGTTGTGCTTCGCCTTGTTCCTGTGTAGGCTGCTCACTGGTCATGGTGTTTGATGTACCCATTTGGGGTCTTGCTTGTTCCTCTGATGTGGAGATGCTCCGCCTGCAAGCGAAGTGGCACAGACATCGAGGGGAAGGCGGGCCAAGCCACAGGGCCTGCTTGACATAAGTGCAAACGAGGGGGGGGGGGTCCCCCTTCTCTGCTGAGGTCTGCAGATGGTTTGGGTTTTCATCCGCTACCTTTTTGGATGCAAATTTGCTTTCAGAATGAAGTAATTTGAGGCAGACCGTGTTAGTCACCAGTCTGAGGCTCTAGGGGTGAGGACCCTAACTTTAGCTGCCTTGGCCTGGTTTTGTTCTGATTTCCTCTCCCCACCCCAGCCCCCTCACTGATGGCTTATTTTGTGACTTCGGGGTTCATGAGTGTCCCGGCAAAATCCCCATCTCAGGAGTTCTGTGAAGTCAGAAACTCAGCTTATGTGTGTTTGCTCCTGTTTTTATCTTTCCAGCTCAGTAGGCTCATCTCTTGGGACCTGTGGGTGGTTGTAGCCAGGATAAAAGGGTGAAATGAATTATTATTACAAGCGTGAGTCCTCCGTGTGCTTAGCACTGTCCTTTGTGCAGTGGAATTAGGCCTTGAAAGATGGGGCAGCAGTAGGGGTCTAATGGGAAGACCCCGAGATTTGGGTCCAAAGATCCAGGGTCTCTGTGAACTTTGGGGAAGTCGCCTAACCTCGGACCTCTGGTTTCCTCATCTAGCCAAGTGGAGATCGTGAGAAGAGTAATCGCTTCTTTGGAGGGGGGTTGTGAGGATTAAACAGGATAGTGCAACAAGAAGTTCTCTGCAAAGGAGAAAGCGCTACACGGATGGTGGTTCTCAGGAGACCTGGAGACGTGGTCATTCTAGGGCTCAGGGGCAAATCGGTTGTGCCCAGGCACGAACGGACTGCAGAGAATCACAGTTCTGTCCAGAGAACGTTTAACTTGCCCACCTTGGCCGCAGTGGAAATGGTACCTGGAGACAGAGGTTGGGGCCCGATTGACCTGGGCCTTGAATGGCCAGGCCACACAGTGCCAAGCCAGGGAGGGACGGAATTGGGATGTGACCTAGGAAAATGAATCGGAAGTGTGGGGTGGGGGAGAAAGAAAGAAAAAGGGCCTGGAGGGAAGGAACACAGGGGAATGCCGTAGCAGCAAGGCCTCGAGGGGAGGAGATGAACTTGAACTAGGCTGGTGACTGTGGGGTGCGAAGGAGGGCTGGCTGGAAGAGATGTGAAGGAGATCGCCGTCTTTGAGCCTGTTTGAATATGGGGCGAGGGAGAAAACGGACTTTAAGATGTCTCTGAGGTTTTCAGCCCGGTATAACAGAAGTCCGATAACTAAACAAACTGAATGGAGGTCGTACTCAGGTTAATCAGTTGGCAGCTCGGACCCGGATCCCCCGGGAGAGAGATCGAGACTGCGGATACAGGAGTGGGATCACTCCTGCTGAGGTTGAAGCCACAGGCTTCATATCTCTGAGAAGGCAAATAGCGAAAAGAAAAAGGCTATGCATGGAACTTTGGGGAATGCTCTTCTACAAGGAGCTGGAAGGAAGAGGGACCAGCACGTTTTCTGAGTCTCTCTGGATATGACCCGTGTGTGTGCATTTCTCTTACCTCTTCCTCCATAGCTGCACGTAACTCAGCTGAACTTACCTTTGCAGGAAAGTGATGTGCAAAATACCTGGATGTTTCCTGCATGACCTGGAAAACGCAAAGCAGTATTCTGGAAGGAAATTCAAGCAAAATAAGGACAGCCTGGTTCAGAAAATCTACGCCCTGTTTAACAGCTCGGTGTTTGATAAAAAGGTACCGTCGACGAATAAGCATTGGATGAGGACCTGCTGTATGTCTGGCACTCTTGGGTCCTGTGAGGTGTGCGGATGTGTTAGCTGTGTATTTCCTGCTCTGGAGAAGTGTCAGTTTAGATGGAGAGGTGATGCATGCGTAGGTGAAAGAAATAGAGCATGTTTGTGGGTAATCATCTATGGTACAGACTGTTACCAGCACAGGAGATCAGCAGAGGCAGAAAAAAACCACTGAGAGCCTGAGTGGTCAGGAAATAAGGTTGCCTGCAGGGAGTAAGACTTCTGGCTCTTGAGGGATGGTAGGCAGAGAGAGCAGCAATGGGCGGGCGTGGAGAGGGCATGTGTTGATCCTTGACTATCTGGAAAGAGAGGCTTTATGTTGAAGAATAATGGGAAGGAGCTCTGTGAGCCTGGACAAGTTACTTGGCCCCTCTCTGCCTCAGTTTCCTCATCTGCAAAATGGGAAC